GGGCATTCCTCACCCAGGGAACAACCTTTGCAAAGAAAGGTTCAAGGAGGCCGGGCGCGGCGGCTCACACCTGTAATACCAGCACTTTGGGAGGCCGAGGTGGGTGGATCACAAGGTCAGGAGTTCAAAACCAGCCTGGTCAAGATGGTGAAACCCTGTCTCTACTAAAATTACAAAAAAATTAGCCGGGCGTGGTGGTGAGTGCTTGTAATCCCAGCTACTCGGGAGGCTGAGGCAGAGAATTGCTTGAGGCTGGTGGTGGAGGTTGTAGTGAGCTGAGATCATGCCACTGCACTCCAGCCTGGTGGTAGAGTGATTCTGTCTCAAAAAACAAAAAAGGAGGCTGGGCGCGGTGGCTCAAGCCTGTAATCCCAGCACTTTGGGAGGCCGAGGCGGGTGGATCACGAGGTCAAGAGATCGAGACCAGCCTGGTCAACATGGTGAAACCCCGTCTCTACTAAAAATACAAAAAATTAGCTGGGCATGGTGGCGTGTGCCTGTAATCCCAGCTACTCAGGAGGCTGAGGCAGGAGAATTGCCTGAACCCAGGAGGCAGAGGTTGCGGTGAGCCGAGATCGTGACATTGCACTCCAGCCTGGGTTAACAAGAGCGAAACTCCGTCTCAAAAAAAAAAAACAAAAAACAAAAAACAAAAAAGGAAAGGTACAAGGAGGAAAGCTTGAATTGGGAGTTGCTGGACTGAGGGATGTCTGGAGAAGTCAGCCGGGATCGGAGTGTTGCAAGCTCCTCACCTCTGAGCCAGGGCGGAGTTTAGAACTTGGCCAGCCATGTTTGGGAAGGCTCTGGCTGCAGTGTGGAAGGCCTGGGGGCGGGAAGCACGGAGGAGAGGAGGCTAGATGGCGGTCAAAGCAGCGAGGGCAGTGGGTCCCGCGCTGCTGGGCACCCCAGAGCGCTGCTGTGCCCTGGCCACCAGAGGGCGCTGTGGGGCAGCAAGCAGGGGAGGCCCAGCTGGTGGCAAGAGCATGCACATACCATGTGCACCGCTGTGCTGTGGCTTGTGTCTGTGGACGTGCCTATGTGGTGCCTCCACGTGCACATACGCACCTGAGCACCCCCTTGCATTTGTGTGTGTGTGTGCATGTGTATTTGGGGTGTGTGGACTTGCATGGGTCTGAAGCGGCACATGAGAATAAGTATGTCCAAGGAGTATGAATAGGTGAGAACAGGGACCCCTCAGCTCCTACCACCCAGCCACACGGGTCTCCTTGTTACTCTCCTGCTAACCATCCACCTCAGGGCCCTTGCACAGCTGTTCCCTGTGCCTGGAATGCTTTTCCCCCCGAGATGTCTCCTTCCCTTATGTCCTTTGGTCTCTGCTTACATGGCACCTTCCAGGGAGGCTTTGCCTGACCTCCCTCCTTAAAATTATAGCCCCCACGTCCAGACACACACCCTGTCCCCTCATCTACTTTTCCCCGTAGCATTTTTTTTTTTTTTTTTTTTTTTGAGATGGAGTTTCGCTCTTGTTACCCAAGCTGGAGTGCAATGGCGCGGTCTCGGCTCACTGCAACCTCTGCCTCCTGGATTCAAGCAATTCTCCTGCCTCAGCCTCCCGAGTAGCTGGGATTACAGGCACGCGCCACCATGCCCAGCTGATTTTTTGTATTTTTAGTAGGGACGGGGTTTCACCATGTTGACCAGGATGGTCTCGATCTCTTGACCTTGTGATCCACCCGCCTCGGTCTCCCAAAGTGCTGGGATCACAGGTGTGGGCCACCGCGCCTGGCCCAGCATTTTTTTTTTGAAAGGGTCTCAGTATCTGCCAGGCTGGAGTGCAGTGGCATAACCTTGGCTCACTGCGGCCTTGACCTCCTGGGCTCAAGTGATCCTCCTACCTCAGCCTCCTGAGTAGCTGGTGTATGCCACCATACCCAGCCAACTTTTTTTTTTTTTGGTAGAGATGAGGTTTTGCCAGGTTGCCCAGGCTGGTCTCAAACCACTGGGCTCAAATGATTCACCTGTCTCGGCCTCCCAAGGTGCTGGGGCTGCAGGTGTGAGCCACTGTGTCTGGCCTGCCACACTTTGACAGTCATTTTGCTTGTCTGGCTCACACACCAGGTCATACTCGCCAGGGAGTTGTGTCAGTTTTATTCAATGTTGTGCTCTGAGTGCCAGTTACATAGTAATTGCTCAACAAATATCTGTTGAATTAATGAATGAGCTGCCCACATCCTGGGTTTGGGTCAGCCTGTCTCTACAGCCTTCTGTCACCTCAGGTCCTGCCTACCTCAGATCATGCTTGTATCCTGACTTTGGCCACAATCCTTCCCATCCAGAGCCTCTGTTTCCCTGTGTCTGCCGAGAGGGGGTTTGGGACTTTTTCCCTAGGAGTCAGGGTAAGACGCAGCCTCTTGTGACCCACGTCAAACATTCCTTCTGATTTCTGCGTGGTCATGGAGTTCCCCAGCCTGACTGTGCCACTTACAATCAGAAGGAAATCAGGAGATGTCACTACGGCAAGCCAGCAAGAGACCTTTGTCTCTGACGGTCCTCGGTGGTACTTCTTGAGCTGCAGCAGTGCAGCTGTGCGTCCCAGTCTGGCCCTCACGTGGTCCTCATGTGTGACCCGTTTTACACCTCCAACCCCTTGCCCCTGCTGCTCTTTTCCAGGGATGCTCTATCTTGCTTCTTTGCCTGGCAAGCTCCTACCTGGCCCTGGACCTCCTTAAAGGTCCAGTCTCAAAACCACCTCCTCTGAGAAGCCTTCCCTGACCCCACCCACATGGAGATACCGGCATCACCCAGGCATCCTCCTGGGACTTTGGCTCATGCATCTATTTATAGCACTCACATGGAGTTTTGTGATTCCTGCACTGTTTATCGGGCTCCTGACTAATCCACAAACTCCTTGTATGTGAGAGCCTGTCTGAGTCATCTGGCCGCCACGGAGGTTGGCACGGGACTGGAGTCGCTTCACCCTGGTCTGTGGATGTTTTCTTCCTTCCTTTTTTCATTCCTCAAATATTTATTAGGCACCTACGATGTGCCTGGTTCTGGGCTGCATCGGGGACACAGCAGGGAATGAGGTGGTCTGGAGGGAGAACTGTGTTAAAAACTCAGTCAGTAACAAAGGCATCAGCAGCATGGGTGTTGTGCCTCAGTATGAGGACCATGATGAGACGGCCTCTTAGGGGCATTCATTTAAGAGGTGGTCTGAGGGATGAGAGGCAACCAGCCCCAGGAGGCTTGAGTGGAGAAATGTTCTGGGCAGTAGCAGCAAGGGTGAAGCCCCTGCAGCAGAACCATCCCTGGCACATTTGAGGGGCACACTAAGACTCTTGAACATCCCAAGGAGCAGAGTGCACAAGGAGGAGTGTGGGGGAGCAGGAGTCAAGGCCGTTGGCCAGGGCCTGAACCCAGAAAACTCGCTGGACCAGGCTTGCAGTTCTGGTAGAAAGGAAACGGCTGCTGGATGCGCATTTTACAGATGGGTAAGCACAGGTCACTCGGGATTATATGGCTAGGATGGAGGCAGCCCACAGTGTTTACTAACTCACATGTCCTGGGCACCAAGTGAGTGCCAGGCCCTAGGCCAGGCATTTCCACTCCTGAACTCATGAAATGCTTTCAGAGACCTTATTGTCCCCATGGGATAGGTAAACTGAGGGACAGAGCTTCTCAGTGACTTCTCCAAGGTCACCCAGTTAGTAAGTGGGGGAGCTGGTGTTGGAGTCCATACCTGTCTGAGCCCCAGGCTCATGATTTCCACCCCACTGCCTGGGAAGGGTAAACAGGAGATGCAGGAAGAGAAAGGTGATGATTCCAAGGCTTCCCTCTTATCTCACCTGGCCCTCCCTGCCGCTGTGTGCACGGGGCCTGCATCACCCCCACTTCACACCTGGGCAAGCAGAGGTCAGCCCTGCCCTCAAGCGTTTCTGGCAGGTGGTGGAATCTGCTTCCCTCACGTGAGGTCCCTGACAGGGTACACACTCATGTCTGCCTGGAGGCCAGGGGCTGACCCATTGACCTTTGCCTGGCACATTCTGCCCTCACTAGCCCTGGCTTTACATCCAGAGTCAGCTGATCCCAGCACCAGATTGGTCAGCGGTTCCTGAAATTCCCCGAGGTTCCGTGTGGGAGCAGAGGGAGGACTGGCCCGTCCACCCATTATGCAGATGAGCAGATTGAGGTCCTAGCAGGAGAGGATTGAAAACCAAGGCCCAAGAGAGCCGGGATGGGGCCTGGGCTCGCGGGATAAAATGCACCGCATGCCACCTCACTCCTTCTGAGACAGTTTCCCCCTGTGTAGAACAGCGGCAGCAGTAACCAGCCACGAAAGCTCCTCATGCTGCCTCGTCACCGGGCATCTCTGAGCTCACCACCGACTCCGCGCCCTGGCCGGGCGCCTGGTGCCCGGGCGCAAGTGGACGTTTGCTGGCGCGGGCCCTCCGTGCGTGTTAGCGAGCAGGGCCGGGAGGTGGCTGTCACCGCCGCCCGCTCACAGAGGCGTAGACTGAGGCTCAAGTGTCACGACCTGCCCGAGGCCAGTCCCGCTGCAAAGTTGCCGAATCGGATCTGAAACCCGGTCTCAACCCAGCAGCGTGCTTTTAATCCCCGCCCGCCTCGCCAGGCCCAGCAGGGCCACCTTTGGGGATCTCGGGGTTTTTCCAGACCACGCACCCAGGAGAACGCGTCCTCGCAGCGCACCCGCCGGGGCTGCGGGTCTAGGGGTGCTGAGCGGGGTCTGGGGGTGCTGGGCGGGGCCTGGCGCCTGCAGGGAGTAGCGGGCTCAGTGGGTCCCGGGAGTGGGCGGGGCTTGCGTGTTGACGGGCAGCGCGAGGGGCGAGGCTTTAGACGAGGAGGGCGGAGTCTGGCCGGGCCTCGGTTTTTCGGGCGGCGGGCGGACTTGACAGAGAGCTAGAGGGGCCAGGATCCTGAGCCCACGGGGGGTGGGGCGTGTGTTTGATAGGCAGGGACAGCCGGCGTCTGATAGGCGGGGGACAGGCCTTGGAAACGGGAGGGCCAATCGGCTCGCAGGGGTGGGGCCTAAGTTAGCGCCGTTCGGCAGGGGTCCCCGGGGCGCTGCCCAGTCTGACTCCGGCGCCGCCAGTTGCGGACGCGTCCCGCTGCAGTTGCTGCCGCGTGCCTCTGCTCCTCCGCTTGACCCGGGCCGTCTGCCCGCAGCCATGAGCGTGCTCGGCCCCGGTGGAGCCTGCTGTCCTCTAGATTAGTCCCCGCCGCCGTCCCGGACCCGTTTGCAGCATGGAGTCGCCCGCCTCGAGCCAACCCGCCAGCATGCCCCAGTCCAAAGGTAGGCGCTCCCCGCCGGAACCTCGGCCTGACCCCGGGCCCAGTCTGGGGCCAGGCTGCAAACTCCAACCGTTCTGTGGTCCCACCCTATTCTGTCCTCGATCTGGCAGCGGCGCCCTGTCACGGAACCCCTTCCTGTTTGGGGTCCCGGGACCGGCCCCAGCCTGGGACCTCACCTGAACCCCCAGGTTAGGCCTTGGGACTGCACCCAGGCTCGAGATCACCCAGGCTGGACCCAGGCGAGGACTTTGTTCCCACCCATCCAAGTCAGGAGCCCCACTCTGACCTCATTTGGGCCTTATGGCTGCAGCCTAGACAGGAACTCTCCCAGTCTTCTCCCTCCGCGGGACCCGGGTGAGATTCACACCGGCCGCCACCTGGGTCCTTGGTCAGCACCCAGTCCCACGTCCAGTTTCGGGACCCAGGGCTGTATCTAGGCTGGGATTTCGCTTGCGTCTCCATCTGGGCCCCAGAGTGCCCCTGTGGTTTCGGACCTCACTGTAACCCCTATGCGGGTGCTCTGGCTAAACCCCAGCTCGGAACCGCCTGACCTCCTCTCCCCCAGCTCTCCCTCTCCTTTAGGCCCTATGTTGCCCCTTCCCTGGCTGACCTCCACCCCGTCCTGCAGTCCTGTGTCCCCAGGAACCTCCCTTGTCCTCTCACCCCTCCCTAAGGTGCAGCCCCCTCTCTACCGGCTCCTCTCTGTCTTGAGTTGCAAGCTTCTCCCTGCACTTGGGGCACTCATCCCATCTGGTTCCTGTCCTGGCTGCCTGGGATCTGGGCCAGCCGCCAGGCCAGGGTGCTGGCTGTGCAAGGGATTTGCTCTTCTCCGAGTAGCTGGCCTTCCTGGAAATTTTTGTGAGGTGGCGGCAGCAGGATTTGTCATGCGGAGGGGGGGAAGGACGAGACTTGGAGGGCAGAAGGGGATTTTTTTTTTTTCAGGAAGAGGAGAGGATGTTTTTGGTGCGTCGGAGTTTCAGCAGGCTGGGCTGTGAGAGATTTCCAAACCGGACATAGCCGTAATGAATGGGCTGCCTCACCCCAGCAAGCTCCCTGGTGTCTCTGGGTCTCAGTTTCCTTTTCTGTAAATTGGAAGTAATCACACCTGCTTCTGTGGACTAGGGAGTGGGGCGTGGGGTGGTGAATGCTATGAGCTCTGAGGCGTTCACTCAAAGAGCGAAGAACACCTAGCGCAGAACTGGTGCCCATCAGGGGACACTGGCTGCACACGTCTCGCTGTTGCGGAGCTGGTGCCCATCAGGGGACACTGGCTGCACACATCTCCCTGTTGCTTTCATTCTTCCTGGAAAGGCCTCCGCTGCTGGGACTCTGCTGCAGAGTGAGCAGGAGGCAGGTAGCAGTGGGCACCCCCTCATCAGGGGTCAACCACTCTCCTGCCCTGGAGGGTGCAAGCCAGTAGAAGCCCAATGGGGGTCTGGGGAGGGCATGGGCTCTTCCTGGTCCCTGCTGCTGGCTGCTGTGGTGGCTGGAGCCGGGTGGGCAGAATAATTATGCCTTACATAAGTGGGAGGCCGGATCCCTGACAATTGCCCAACCACTGTGAGTAACTCAGGAGGCACTCGCGGTGGGGGGGGAGGCGTCTGAGGAGGGACTTCACTGCACAGACCTCGTGGAGCTTGGGAACCGGGAAATCAGACACTTCTCCACTCTGGAGAGCTCGGGGAGGGGGAGGAAGCACTGTTTGTTTTGGAGGCTTTTTTAGCTCTTCAGGCAGGGAATGCCTCGGCAAAATAAAAGTTCCAGTTGCAGTGTTGTGCAGGGAGAGGGGTCATAGAGGTGGTGGGAACGCTGCGAGAAGGCCAGGATGAACTTCTAGATGTGAACCCAGGTCCCAGATGAGGTTGGGTGGGCTGAATGGAGGGTCAGGGACCTCCCTCAGGCCCAGGGACCCTGTAGCCTCTTCGGGGTCTGGGGAAGTATGTGGTGGCAGAGCCACAATGCCCCTCACCAAAATCCCTGTGAGCGCCTTCTTTTTTTTTCCCATGTGCCATGCATTTCCTCATTCATTCCTCACAGCCCCATTTACAGATAAGGAAGCTGAGGCCCAGAGGCATTAAGTGCCTTGCCTGAGGCCACACAGCAGTGACAGGTGGACTAGGGTTCCCCCAGGACTGTGTGTCTCTACAGAGGCCTTCCCAGTGACCCTCTGTGTGCCGCTCCCATGCTAGATGCCTGAGCTGAGCTGGTGGGACACCCTCACCCCTGGCCTTGCTCTCAGCCTGTGCAGTGGGCCTGTCGTCACGGCCATGTCGGACCTCCAGGACAGATGGAAGCAGAGGTGCTGCCTCTCCTGCACACAGCGCTTTACGCTGGGCCTGAGGCATGTTCCCCGCAATCCGACCCATTTGACAGATGCAGAGCTGAGCTTGGAGGGAGGATGGCCGGCCTGCCCCAATAGGTGGAGATCCTTGCGCCATGGCCGCCCCATCCTGGGCACTGGGCCTCCCAGCATGGAGCCTTCTCCACCTTCTCAAAGGAATTTGAACACGGCAGGGAGTGGCTGGCGCCTGACCTTACTGGAGCTTTACCTTTGAGCTTCCTGCCTTGCAGCAGGTACACGGCCCGTCCTCCGTGCCATGGGCCTGGGGAGTTTTCCGTGTGTATGCAGCCCTCAGGCCCGGAGCTCTGCTGGTTTTCCCCTGGCCTCCTTGCCCACATGGCCAACTTTGGGCCAGTGGGCAGGGGCAAATGTGCAAGCCACCTTTGTCCTTGCAGGGTACCACACGTCCTGTTGTCGTTCAGAGCATGGGTTCTGCCCCTTCTGCCCTAAGAGTGCCACCTGTGGGGGCACTTCATGGTTAATTTTCACACAGCTTGGACCGTGGCTGCGGACTCCTGACTGCCCCATGGGGACACCGAGGCTTCACGGAGCACTGCCATGCCCTAGCCCTGCCTGGTGCGGCCACCCTCCCCCACCCCCGGCTGTCGGAAAGACTGGAGGTGGCACCTCGGGGACTTCCCCCACCCCTCTTGTGACGCACAGGAAACTCTCTGTCAGCCAACCCATGGCCCAGGGCCCAAAGGGAGCAAGGTTCTCAGTTGGCCTGTGTGAGGAGAGGGCCGGGGCCGCGGAGGCTTCCGGCCGTGAGTCAGCGGGCACTGGGTGCTGACTCACCCGCTGGGCATGCCAGCCGGCTGCCTACAGCTTAAAGGGGCGATGCCGCCAGGCTGGTGGGTGGGGAGGGGGTTACGTGTCCTGCAGGTGGCACCTAGCCCTGAGCTGGGGCACTGGAGGTGGCCCCTTCCGGGACCTCGGGCTGGGCTGGGACCCCCTGGGCAGGCCCTCTGTGCCCCACCCAGGAACTTCCTCTATTAGGCAAGGGGCTCTGCTTCCTCTTGCTCATGGAGCAGGAGCAGGTGGCAGTGGCTGTTTACTGCCTTTGGCCCAGGGGACTCCTCAGGTTCAGCTGTGCAGCTGGGACTCAGGGAGGGCGAGCAGCAGAGGTGGTGCAGGGTAGGCTGGGGAGGGGCCCGGCCTGAGTCCTGGAAGGTGATTATGTGGAGAGGCTGTGAGACCTGTCTCCAGAGCCTAACTGCCTGAGTTCATGCCCCAGCTCCGTCCCTTTTGCGATGTGACATTGGACAAGTTGCAGCTGGTCCACTCGCTGCACTCTGTAAATGATTTCTGTCCCCTGGGCATGGCCCAGCTCTCAGAGGAGAAGCCTCCATTTCCTCCTCTGCAGACTGGGAACGAGGACGCTGTCTGTCTGGATGCAGCTAGTTCCATTCCACACTTGCTGAGTTTCAGGCGCGAGTCATGGCAAGACTGCCCTCTGTCTACAAAGAACCCAGCTGAGGCACGCCTCTGCCAGGCAGGAAGTCAGGAGAACCTGGGCTCTGGTCGGATGGCCCCGGGTTCGAATCCTGGCTCTGCTGTTTCCTCACCTGGGTAAATCTTGTGTGCTTTCTAATCCTCAGTCTTCTCTTCTGTAAAGTGAGAGTAAACACCCCTCCCGTGCAGGGTAGTGGTCGAAATTGCAGATAGCATTTGTCAAGTGAATGGCACCTGTTACTATTTTATTGTTGTTACTTTTGTGGCTGTAGTTCATTGGTGGTGGATAAACAGTAGCAGGGCTTCATGACGGTGGGCTCCTGGGCACTGCGGTGCGAGGCCTCTGGGCAATAGGGTCCTTTAATCTAGGCCAGAATTTATCAGGCTTTAGGGCCTCTTAAACTTCTGGTCCCCAGGCTGGGGCTAGGGGCTGCCCCTGGCCTCCTGGCCCTTCCTGGGGAGGGCACGTGGGGAGCAGAGAGCTGGAGCCTGCTCCTGCAGGCCTGTCCCGTCCCCGGCTTTGGCATGCGACATTAACAGGAGGACAGGGAGAAGGCGGGGTGGGGCCGGGAATCAGGACGCAGCCCCCTGGGCCAGCCTGGGAAGCAGAAGCAGGGCCTGTCCTGAGTCAGGGGTGTTGGTGGAAGTTGGGCCAATCTGAGGTGGGGAACTGGGCACAGGGTCATGGTGCCAGTGTCTCAGGAGGGGTCCCAGAGGAGGGCTGCTGGGCAGCAGCATGGAGGACGCCATGTCGTGGCAGCGCCCCATGACTGATGCCCACATGCCATCCACGCCTGCCCTTGGCCGTCCCTCCTGGCACTGCCCACCCTCGTCAGGCCTGTCTGCCCAGTGACTTCTGCAGGTGCCTCCCTGAAGCAGTGGCCCTGGAAACCTCAAACAGCCTCATGTCAAGGGCCTGAAGGCCAGAGAGGGCCAGGGGAGGCAGCAGCAGCGTGCTGGGCCCTTTGCAGCTTCCAGATACCAAGCCTGGCTGCAGCGGCTCCAGAGAGGGCCCCAGGCTTTCTTCCCCTGACCCCAGTCCTGGGCACATGTCCCTGTCATCTCCCTGCCCTGCATTCCAGGGCCACCCTCTCTGCTTTCTCTGGGGAGGCCACATCCAGCTGCCCCTCTCCCAGCTGGGCCCCTGCCCACGGTAGCCCATATCACCTCCTGCCATTCGGCCCACAGCCGGGATGGTGCCTGGCTCT